AAAAGGTGCTATAATAAGTGAGCAACAATCATGGCAGTTCCAGAGCTGGAGTTCAACATATTTTTGATTCCTCTGCCCCTCTTTACATCACTGCTAAATTCTTGAAGCTCGCTACTCTAGACACCATCACTCTATCCTTACTCTCATGAACCACCCGGCCCACCCAGCAGAGCAAATCTCCTCACGATGCCAGGCCCATATTCTTGATACTATGTGAAAGTCAGCTCGCAATCCCAGAAGAGGCCCAACATTTAATTAGAGAAGGACTTACCTCCGCCTTAGTGTGGCAGTAAGACTTGAACTCCGGCGTCTGACCAAGCAAACTACCTCCAAACCAGGGACCATGTCTCTGTCGCTTGTGAGAAATGACCTGGACCTCGAGACCACCACTTTTGGCTCCACCACTTCGGACTTCACTGGCCTTGATGCGCGCGTCTACCAAATGCTTGATGTCTCGTTGTAACCTTCGGCCGAAATCCTTGTATAGCGTGCTACCACCGGAGAGGACGATATTCTTGTACAGACCGCGTCGAACATCAATGGGACTGGATTGAATGACGCCGTCCACGACTACGGGCAGAGGTGTTAGGAAGTCGGAGGAGTAGATCTCGGGGTTGAAGAAAATTTCGGGGGCTAAGAAGCGCTCGTAACCGACGTCGACGGATACCTGGCGGCCACCGGGCTGGGAGACGACGTGCTTGGCGAAGCGGCTGCGGTCGCGGTCGAAGCGAGAGAATTCTTTGACGATGTCGGGGCATACATAGCAGTATTCCTCCTTGATCTCCTGCGCGGTCTTCAAAGAGCTGTCGGGCTCGCCTCGGTCACGCAGTAGGGACTGGACGAAGTAGGTGAGATCTCGACCGGCGATGGGTATGGATTTGATGGAGGAGCCGATAACATAGCCCTCGGCGACGGGGATGACGTGGGTGACACCGTCGCCCGAGTCGATGACAGTGCCGGTTAGAGAGCGGTCGGTGACTTTGGTAGACGTCCAGGACGCGGCGAGGGCGAGGACAGCCTGAACGGCGATGTATAGTCCGGCGCAGTTGAAAGACTCGAAAAAGATCTCGGCAGTGTTTTCACGGTTCTCGGGAGGGTTCAGGGGCTGGATAGTGTCAGCACAGAGCTTGAGACGGCTGCGTAGGCAAGAAAGCTCACGGGTTCGGTGAGGAGAAAGTGGTGGTCTTCGGGCTCGACGCGCAAGTACTTGAAGATGGAGTTGGACCAGAATCTCTCCATGTGATCCTACATAGACAATTGGTCAACATCGTATCACCGTGGAGGCAGCGTAGTGGCCTCATACCCAATTCTCGATCTGGCCATGCCGGATGGGATAATGCAAACCATAGCCTGATGCAAAGTCAATTGATGCCCTTATCTCTTGCTGCCGAGTGGTTTGGCGAACATACCCGGGCCATTGGAGGCTGCGACAGCTTCATCGCCAATGAAGAAATCCAGGTCTTCGGTGCCGCGCTTGTTGGAGAGGTGGCCAGTTGGACCAGCACCGCCGGTCAAGAAAGAGGGCTTGTTGGCCACAGCAGGGCGTCCGGAGCCAGTACCGCCACTACCAGCAGCAGGACCCTTGGTGGCTATGGCGGTGGGAAAGACGAAGGAGGGAGAGTCGTTACCGGCGAAACCTGTAGAGAGGCGCAGAGAAGCGGACAGTCAGTCTCGAGTCGGGTCGGTCGGTCAGTGCCGGCAGGATATATCGGTGTTGCCGAAGTGATAGGTTAAGCTGGGAGATAGATGGTCTTACCAAGCTTCGAGAAGCCCGTGCCGCTAGAGTGAGAAACGAGGGTCAGTTTACGGAGATAGAATGAGAAGCTCGGGAAGCCAATCCACATACTTGTCCATGACAACGGCCGGCGTCTGGTTGGCCATGATGAGGGAGGGTGGAAGAGCTGCAGATAGTACGGGGTATCTACAGCAGCGAGGAGGAAGCAACCGGGGGGCGGATGGGCAGGCGACAGTTGCGCCAGCGGTAGTGGTGATGTTGAATGTTTGATTGTAGCAGTTGGCGGTTGGAGCTTTGGGGGAATGACGCCGCAAGGCAGCCGACTGTGTGGGATGTGGGTCGGCGGGGTATGTGCTCTCACCTCGCTCACCTCTCAACTCATACCTTCCCGCTGCCTCACTCATATAATCTTCTCTTGAGCTGTGCGAACCCTGTTCACCCTCAGAGATGTCTCTGTTTTATGTATTTCTTGATGTCCAATATTGTGACCATTGGAAGCATATATCTTGACCAATTACGAGCCCCTTTTCTTATCCGCTGTGCCATCTCACGTCCCGTTTATGACTGAGCTGAAGGATTAATCTTCAACTACCTAATCTATACAGCTATTTCTATCTAGCATTTCAAGAGACTTGGATTATTCCTAGCCTTTCTTCCGTTTCAAATCATAGACATTTGCAGAGGCGGCCTACTGCGTAATGTGGTGAAGATATTCTCGACTTGGACAGGTTGATCCACTACGGCGAAGCCTTCGACCAAGTGGCCACAAAGGCACAGTTTTTCCAAGTCGCGATGCATGTAGTACCTCCTATCTGCTCTTACAGCAGTTCACCTAAGTCGTCATAAAGTCACTCACTTATAGATGATGTTTTTTTACCTCCATCGAGCATCGACGCTATTATCGCCTGCTTATATTGGTTCAATTGATTCATTGGCCCAAGCAAGCTGCTACTGCCTTCGGCCCTGCTGGTTCCTGCTCAGGTCGCTGAAGCTTCTAACAGATCAGAAGAAGACGCAACGACAGGGAAGGAGGGGGCAGCATACGCAGTCACGGCTACTGGAGCAGCGACGCTGGTACGGCACTAGCGGCAAGTCGATACTTGACATCTTCGTGTTCCGTTCGACAATTCGCTCCTCGTCCCATCTCTCCTATGCCCAATAGTCTTATTGCTGGTGATCGATGGCATTATGGGAAGACCCGTCGCAGCCATCTTCATCCACGCCGGCGCTGGCTATCATTCTACAGCAAACGAGCACATTCATCTCGAAGCCTGTGCCGAGTGAGTCTATCGCCTTTTTTCTCTTCGTGGGCTTACGCTGATTGGCATGAGCAGTGCAGCACGTGCTAGCATCAAGCTGATGAGAAGGGGCGGCTCGGCAGTCGATGCCGTCGAGCTCGCCATCAGGACTCTCGAAGACAACGAGATCACGAACGCCGGCTTCGGGAGCAATCTCACCATCGAGGGCACCGTCGAGTGTGATGCCACCGTCGTCGACCACTACGGACGCAGTGGCGCCTGCGGAGCAGTCCCTAGTAAGCATGCCTTATCCTTTCCACCAGACACTCGATTTCTCACACAGGATCTCGGTAGATATCAAGAATCCAATATCCCTCGCGAAATGGATCCTACAATGCAGTCTCAACCCTCTGACTCTACGCCGTATCCCTCCGAACCTCCTTGTCGGTGAAGGAGCGAGAGACTTTGCCAAGGACTGCCACCTCCCTGGGCTGACACCCAACGAGGCCCTGGTTTCCAAAACGTCTCGCGATCGCTTTAAACGCTGGCAAGAGGATCTGAATCGTGCAGGAGAGACACGAGGCCGCCCTACGACACCACCGACCCAGGAAAGATTGGACCAAGAACGCATGACCGCTCAGGAGGCGCACCCATCTCTACGAGACCACGCCAATGCCATACTGACGGGAACCTGGAATGAGGGACAACCCGACTCCCCCATGATCGGCTCACGTTGGCAGACTCCAAAATCCGCCTCCCCAGCTACACAGCCCTCTACCTCGCCTAGGGCAACAGTCGAGCGTAATCCACTGAGCTTCCTTGGCTCTGCACTTTCCATGAACAAGTACAGCTATGGAAAAACAGCCCCATCCACGTCGCAGAATGCCAGGAAGTCCCGCTACAACCCGTATCCTCCCCCGAAACCTAACGGAGGCGACATGAATGCTTCAAACGGCACGCCTCCATTAAGAAAGCGGAGTTCGTCGTCTCTTAATCTTCACGATAGGGTCGGTGATGATCCGGATTCCGACGATGAGATCAACGATACAGTGGGAGCAATCGCCATCGACCAAGACGGGTACATGGCCGCAGGCTCTTCATCAGGCGGCATCGGAATGAAGCACCGTGGCCGCGTCGGGCCCGCTGCTCTCGTCGGCATTGGCACGGCTGTCATTCCAGCCGCAGATGATGACCCAGACGGTATTTGTGTGGCAGCGGTAACGAGCGGAACAGGCGAGCATATGGCAACGACCATGGCGTCACAACGCTGCGCCGAGCGCCTCTACCAGGAACGCGTTCGTCTGTCTTCTGGCAGAGAAGTCGACGAATCCGACGAAATGGCTATTCTGACGTCATTCATTAAAAATGAATTTCTCAACCACCCAGGTGTGGCCAATTCCTGCAGCACGCCCGCCATCGGCGTCATGGCTGTCAAGAAGGGGCCTAATGGATATTATCTCTCTTTTGCACATAATACCGATTCGTTTGCGCTGGCAAGTATGAGCTCGAATGATCGCGAGCCGGCCTGTGTCATGTCCCGTCTTAACGAGGCGAAGGGTGATAGGATCTCGGCTGGTGGACACAAAGTCGCACGGTGATGACTTAGAAGAAATGAACACTAGGATGGCAATATGACAAGTGGAAGGTTGCGATTCAGGATCGTGGTAGTTGATTATCCGCCATGCCTAATGAAATTCCCTATTGATACCCGGAGGCTCTATTCCTAGACAGTTGTCTTCAGAGTACCTATTAATGAACGCTGTGTCTTGAATACTAAACACTTGGATGGTGTTAGAGTCGTGGTATTTTCATATGCATCTTGCGTGTGCATGATATTTTGAATCACGGGTATTGATTAAGATTGAGCTATCGCGGTGAGTGACGACTTGGCGTTTGAAGGACGACACCCGACTCGAACGCGACCTAATTTCTATCGAATTGCTGATCAACTTGAGTTGTCTTCATAGTTGTGTTGAAGTCAATTGATTTGCATATAGGTCCAAGACGGACGCAATTAAAAAAAAGAATGGCCGCATCGGGGTCTGAACCCGAGGCCTTCACCATGTTATCCTTGGCTGCAGCGTACTGCAGCCCAAAATGACGCACCGTAGTACGTCTTAGGAATGGTAACGCTCTATCACTGAGCTACGCGGCCTGTGTTAGTGATATGAGGTGCCTTCTAATGGTTTATTATGTTGGCTAGTTTCACATGCCAAGTTATGGGTTGGGGGTGTAAGGAAGGCGTGGTTGTGCAATGATCTGTTCTTTTTATTATCGGTTATTTCGTTTCTTTTTGTCCGGCTGATCGCCTGTTTGGATGCGCAAGATTATCTAAGATTATGTTGCTGTACTGATATATCAGAATATGAACATCCATATCACGGCCAAGTCCGCTTCTTGAATAACCGCCCTATCCTCGACCTCACTTTCGTACCGTCCTGCACGCCATCAAGTCTCTGGCTCCTAATCCGCAACAAAGTACAGGGGATCTTGTCCTCGTTCTCACCGAGATTATGCTCGCTAAGCTCCACGGTGTGTCTCCATCGGGAGGAAACGAGCGACGTCTGGTTGGGATACTTCTGCAGCACATCCCCGACTTTCGAGGGCAGTATATCGCTTTGCTCCAACGCCGGCGGGAGATCCGCCCATTTGAATAGGCCGTATAGTAGCCAGCCGTCGGAGTATGCGCACACGAGGGCGATTCCGTCTAGATCGCCTGTAGTCTGGATCTTCCAGCAGCCCCAGAAATGCCGACGGCGGTACGAAAGGAGGATGGAGTTCCGCAGGTCCCAGTCTGTCTCCGGGTGCACGATTATCGTTTCCTCGTCGAAGGCTTCGAGCTCGTACTGGATCTGCACTGAGCCTACGCGGCTTGTCATTACCATGTTGTCTAGGTCGTGGCTCTCGCGGCTGTGTATGTATTGTGGTTGGGGTAGCCGGAAGGCGAGGGACACGTCGATGTCGACTACCGTGTCGTAGAGCCAGGGTTTCCTCCGCGCGAAGAGCGAGGGGCCGTATTGTTCGAGGGACACGAAGCGCATGTCTTTGGTGTGGCGCGCGTCTACGCAGTCTAGGGGCAGGAAGTAACTCCCGGCGCGTGTTGACATGTTGCGCACGATGCGGATCATGTCTGTTGTGCGCAGACCCCGGGAGGTGATGCTGTATTCGCCTCTGCCGTTCCATTCGAGGGCAGGTTTGACTAGCCATTGGCATGACTTGAATTCGTGGGGGGAGCTGGCCCAGAGACTTCTGAATTGCCGCTTGTCGCTTAGAGGGGCCGTCCAGGCGAAGATTGAGAGGTCGTTGCTGGATCGAATGATCTCCTCTTGTAGCCTCGTGAACGCTTTTTCGCCCTCGCCGTAGAGGAGTGGCATGTTGATGTCGAAGAGGCCGAGGAGACAGTATGCCATATCTTCTACTCGTCTTGTCTGGCGATTTGCGGCCCATGACATGCGGCGCCCGACTAGGACGTCATTTAGTGAACTGCCTCGCAGAACTGCCGTGTTGATGCCTGTGATATATGACAGCACAGGCGCGATTTCGGCTTTGGAACCGAAGTAATCCCAGTTCTTGTCCAGGAACTCTACTTTCCGTGGCGCGACCAGTTCCTGCAATGTCCAGCCCCGCGAAAACCAACGGCATTGTTTGAGGCCCTTGTTGATCCTATTCCGCATCTCGAGCTCGTTGACACTGAGCTGCGGGACATCGGAATGTGCCTTTGCCTGCTCCGCGACATTCTCCCGCGCTTCGAAACTGAGTACTACTGCGGCGCTACTTATGTCGAAGTCCCGATCCGGGGAGTAGTCAGATAGCCAGGCATAGCAGACCGTTGCGTCACGGTACCATGCGAACATGGAGTTTATCGCCTCTGATAGCTCTGCCGAGGACGACTTGTCGATGCAGCAGGTGTCTATCCATGCGTATTCTATGCCTTGCTGGAGCGCGCGTGCGCATGTTTGTGTTATCTTGCGGTAGCCCGGGAGCTCCGCTGTGCTGGAGAGGTTTGAGATGTCTTGGAGGGACACCTCGCCGTCGCTCCATGTATGGGATAGTACGGCGTAGGGTGGGATCTGCTCTATGTGCTCTTCTATAGAGAGGGTACGGCAGTTGATGAGGCGCATTGTGATTACCGTGCGACGTTGGCGGGCGCCAACTTGACTGGTGGGGGTTGGCTACCCGTGCCGGAGGCTACAGCAGGCCCCGGGCCTTGATGGACGGCGCTGAGTGGTTCTTGAGAATGGAACTGTCAATCACACACTCACACATTTACCTTCAACCCGGCCGCGATGATTCCGTGTGCAAGGTAGGTAGCTTTTAGCGAAGGGGAATTTAAGACGCGCGAGTCTTCCCACATTGATGTATTAAGGACTTTATCTGAATCCAGTGTTGATGATCGAACAGGCATCACATGAGGGATCCATCCATCACCTTTACAGGGGTAATAAGCCGCACTGCACCCCTGTCTCAGCCATCGCTGACGCCGAGCTCCCCTATGTGGACGGTTGATTCTCCGATGTGGCTGTACAGCATTATACGACGTAAACAACAAGGCGATAAAACTATGTCGATGCTATGTTAGTTTCAAGATTGACGAAATCTGGCGAATTCCACGGGTATGGTTGATCAGCTGGATTCGCAGATTTCTTTGCTTCTTAGTTGTCACGGGGCTTACTCGCTGTTGATAATAAAGCATGCCCGATTCTCTGCTTATTTGTTGTTGTAAAAATCGTGTTAATGCGCCATATCCAGTTATACTTGGCTACGCAATTGCATCGATATCGTGACAGAATACTTAGTACTAAGATCCAACGCACAAGTGGATTACGTAGTATTATATAGCAGACTGGGCATTTGTTTGAGGACATCATTTGCTACCTTGTTTTCTCAAATGGTAGATTATCCTAAATACTCAGGCATTGTTCTCTATCTCCTCGTCACCTGACTTGAGAAATCTGTAAATGCTTGTTTGCCAGAACGGGCGTTTCTTATAATTCCCCAACTTCTCCGGCATAGACTCGAAAGCCGTCGCCAACAATGGTCCATTCCCCTCTTTCTTAATGTCATGGAGGCTTGTCATGTACGATCTAACACAGAAAATGACAGCGCGCGTCCTTCGGAGTCGAAACAATGTCTGATGCTCAGAGCGCAAAAAGCACTCGTCGATGTTGACATCGTCTTCCGAGTCAGGAAGGGTCTGAGAGTTTTCCGGGTAGAAATTGTTCCCATCAAGGCGGAAGAGGTCTTCGCCGTCTGTTTGGAGACTCCACTGTCGTTTGTTAGTTTTTTTATTTTTTTATAGACAATTTTGGGATAGGGAGGGAAGGTTATACTCACGTTGAATCGCTCAATGAGCTCCCCCGGCTCAAGTCGTGAAAGCGCACCATCTGCACCCTTCGCAATACGCTGGGCATATCCGGGAACAGGCGCATGAATCTCACGCATACTCATACCGCGTCGCTGAACTGTCGAGAATCCACCAGGGAAACACGCAATCCAGCCTTCGAGTCGTAAATGGCCGTCGCCGTCGGGACACATGAAGTAGAAATCCTCTTCGACGTTCTCCCCTAGGGTACGGAGCATGGTGTCGTGGTCTATCGTAGATACGTCCACTAAGTAGGATTTCCCTGTGACGATGTTGTGAAAAGTCTGGCCTTGTACTTTAAACATCGTTGGAAAGCGACGGGGGAGGAACGTCATGATCATGACGAATAGCTCCTCGATGGCTGGATTAACGAGAGGTCCGCTGCCTATTACTGGGTTGATTGTGGCTCCGTGGCCGAAGGTTCTGGGGTGATGGGCATCCATAATTCGCTCTCGTTCAGCGAGGCGTTTAAAGTATCCGTTGTCGATGCGTATCAGCTCTGATTTGGGCATTTTCTTAATACCTATGGCTTGCTGTTAGAAATCATAGGGGCAGTATATCCAGGGCATCAACATACCCATTGCTACATGTTGCAGGTTTTTGAAAGGCCGGTAAGGAATTGGATTAGTATGTTTCCAGTCAAAGTCGACCAAGGGCTGTACATCCTTATCGTCTATTCCAAGAGATCGGCTGCGGGGCTTCCACATATCGTTATTCGGTGCGAGTATCATCATGATCAAGACGCAACCAGCAAATAACAAGGCGGAAACCATCCCCAGGGAAATTATCCTCATGATCAATCCTCGAGTCAATACTCGAGACAGAATAACATCTGTGAGAGATGTGAGAGACATCTTGCCGGCGACAGACAGTAAAACCTGCCTCATATTCCGAAGGTATGGGTATCTCCGGTACGGTGTATCAGTTCTTTGTTCCTGCGAGAGATGTGTTGTTGCCTGCTGTCGGTACAAGAGAGAATAAGTCAGATGTTCGCGGATTGGGGAAATGCCAAACATTCCGAAGAAGCACTGAATGCCCGCGGTATTTATCGACTTTCCCCCTCTAGAAGTTTCGGGCTCTGGCATACTTGATGTGATGAATGCATCGCGGTTTGTATGCCGGTGTTAGTCACAATGTTGGCCTGCTGCCATTGTATGATGCACAGACCCGGGGGAGACAAGCATTGCCATTCTGTGTTTCCTGTCGCCGTGTCACTCGAGATTGATATTATACAACACTAAAGAGATCGTGAATGGATGACAGACAAGTCCTGTTACTCGCGTGGTAATAAGAACATATGTAGATGGGGCTACTGTATTGTTGTCATTCACAAATGCTCCCTGTCATGAAAACCCACACTGCTTTGATCGATAGCCGCTATGCATTTTCAGCAGTCTGATCTTACAACTTGCTCTGTTTCGGATAAATCAAGCATCACACCGGATGAATTACAAGCCACCATTAACCCGAGTCTATAAATACGGATAGTGCATAAACCTGGGTAGTTATGTTGTCGCCTCAACATTCCACCAGATTGATCTCGACGGGGCCGGTTACACAGCTCTTCGGCCACTCAAGTATATCCATCGACAGATATTGCATACAAATGTTGAAGTGTGTTGGTATGGAAGCCTCAAGGACTGGAAATTCTGGCATCCGGAAATGGAGTCCTCCGTACCATATCCGCCCCATAAGACAGGGCACCTTCATATTAGCCACACCCAGGGTTGTGAAATTAGTAACTAATTAGTTACTAAGACTAAAGATCTTTAGTCTTAGTTTAGTCATTGACC